TTGTCCATTTTCCCTGCTCAGCCCTTGGTGGGCCCTTCACGCTCAGACTCCCTGCCTGGTTGTGGCTCTGAGACGGCCTCTCTGGCGGGAGCTGGCACTCTCGGTTGTGTCGCCCCGACCCCTGGTCTTCACAGGAAGGGACTGTTTTCCTTACGCTGCAGCCGCCAGCCTGGCTTGAAGTCCCGCACACCATTGGCGCGTGGTGATGACCCGAGTGGGGTAAAGGAGCCAAGACCCAGAGGTTAGGACGAGGGTTGTTCTAGCAGGCATTGCCCCTGCAGGGATGAAAGTGTAGAGCAGGTGTCGTTGGTCCAGTAAAGTGGCCTGAAGTGGCCTTGGTGATCAGCACCTGCCAGCTCATCCCCCTGTGGTGCGTGTCCTGCTATGTCGGGAAGGACAGATCCAGATGAGGCTGGATTGGGGAAGGGAAGGAAGAATGCCAGGGACTCAGCAGGGTCTTGGTGGCCGGCCGGACACAGGGAGGGCCAGTGTGTGTCTGCAAGGGTGAGTCTCTGTGGGGGCGGGTGTCGGGTCTTCCAGGTTGTGCATGTCCCTGATGTGGGTGGTGGGAGTGGTGGGGCCGGGTGGGTGTGTTTGGCAGCTGTGGTGTCGGGAGGAGGCTGCTGGGACCTGATGCCTGTGGGAGAGTGTAGGGCCAGGGTCTGCCGGTGGGCAGGTCCTAGTTGTGAAGGGTGCAAGGTGCCCCGCTGTCTGGGTGAGCCGAGAATGGGCCAGGTTCAAATCTGCCGCTGTCGTTAATTAGCTGTGTGATGGTAGACGAGTTTCCTTATATCTCTGTACCTCCATTCCCTCATCTGCAAAATGGGAATAATAATACAGACCCCAGAGGGATGTGTGGGATGACCCCAGTTACTCGTAACAGATCCTGAGAGTAGTGGCCCACGTGGAGCCTGGCAGGCGCCATTCATGGCTATGATTACGTTGCTGTTTTGTTCTTATTACTGACCTTTTCTCTTGTCCTCAGTGGGGCGAGACGCTCTCCGCTGAGTAGGGTCAGCTTCTCTCTCCTGCACCAGGCATGTGTGCATGGTTGGTGCTGACTGTGCTCGGGTCTGTGCACCCGACTGCGCCACCCCCCTGCATCTCCAGGCTCGGGATGCTGCCTGGCTCGGGGCAGGTGTCTGTTTGGTGGTGTGAGTGGAGGAAGTCGTCAGATTTTATACCAGATTGAAACTTTGGAAAGGAGTAGGGAAGTGTCATGGTAGCACTATTTGCTTCTAGGTCACTGGTTAATTTTGAGTGACAAATGAGGAAGGGAAGACAGTGCAGACTGAGCAGCCCTCATCCGAAATGCTCCAAAAGCCAAACTTTCTGAGCACTGACAAGACACTGCATGGGTGGCTGAGATAGTGACGCCTTTGCTTTCTGATGGTTCAGTGTATACACACTTTGTTTCATGTACAAAATTATTAAAAACACTGTATAAAATTACCTTCAGGTTATGTGTATAAGGTGTCTATGAAACATAAATGAATTCATGTTTAGACCTGGGTCCTGTCCCCAGGATATCTCATTATGAATATGCAGATGTTCCAAAATCGGGAAAAATCCAAAGTCTGAAACACTTCTGGTCCTAAGCTCTGGGACAAGGGACACCCGCTGTGTGACGTGGTTATGACTCCTGATGGAAGGCAGGGCTGTGGTGTGGCGACCCACCAATCTGAGTCTCTGGGAGGTAGAGAGGGCCTGGGAACTGCCTTTCCCCAGCAGCCCGGACAGTGGGAGTGCAAGTCGCGTTGGGATCCCCACAGCCTCTTCTGCATTTCGCTGTTTGTTCTTCTGGTTTTACTATTAATTGACACAGTTTAAGGAAAAATTAAACTGTAGCCTGAACTTATAAAGTGTGACTGTAGGAATTAAGATATTACTTTTATGAATTAGAAGCAATTTATTTTTAATAAGCAGAGGAACATGGCAGGAGTCTAATAGAAATATCTGGGAGCCTCCTAGATGACAATTAATCAACATTATACCACACAGCGAGAGGGCTCCTCAGTGGACAGGTGAATCACAAAATAACGGTGCATATAAACTGAGAGATCACAGCTCTCATGGGGCAGTGTCTGTTACTGTTTGGAAGAGATAGCCAGAGGTTTTCTGTTCCTGGAGGAAACCACAGGGGCTGGCTGGCCTCTGGCCCTGCAGCAGGTGACAGCGTTGACCAGCACTCGCAGTTACCTCGGGAGCAGCAGCAACTTGGATGTGTTTGCCTGCCATGAGCCAGATATAGTTCCGAGTGTGTTTTGTGTAGACTGTTCCCTGCTTGCACTGTATTCCCTTCCTCTTACCCCCAGTGAAGTATTTGTTTCCTGTGGCTGCTGAGACAAATTAGCACAAGCCTAGTGGCCTGAAACAGCAAAATTTATTCTCCTACAAGTGTGGGAGGTCTGATGTCCAAAATCAGCCTGACTGGGCTAAAAGCAAGCTGTTGGAAGGGCTGGTTCCCTCTGGAGGCTTTCTGGGGAGGGTCTAGTTCCTTGACTTTTGTGCTTCTAGAGGCTATATGCCCTGGCCCAGGGCCTGGCCTTGTAGGCCTCTGTCTCTGCTTCCTTCGGCCCTGGCCGTTTCCTCTGACTCTGACCATATGCTTACGGGAGGGAGCCCACTCAGAAGTCTCCCCATCTCGAGATCTTAACTTGATCACCTCTGCCATGGTGGAGTTCCTTTGGCCATGGGAGGTGACATCCACACCTTTGGAGATTAGGACATGGGTGTGTTAGGGGCTGTCAGCCAGCCCATCACACCCTGTGAAGAAGAGCCAATGAATGAGAAGGTCCCAAAACATGTTTCTTGGCCAACTCTAATATATACATTTTTAATGATAAATATTAAATAGTTAAATGTCCAGTCATAATATTGAAATTAGTCATATAGCACCACTCAGGTATGGAATAATGTAGTAATTTATAGATAAATTGTTCATTTTTCACTCTTACATATAAAAAATTTTTATTTAAATATACATCCTGTATGTATGTATGTCAGTGTTTATATTAAGTGACTCCACTTTTGGAGTCATTTAATAATAGACTTTCCATTTTGCTTAGTTCTTTTGCTCTGTGTGTGTGTGTGTTTGTGTAAAAATTACTTTGTTACTTTGAATCTGTTTATGATTCTGTCCTTGGAAACTATCCCAAGACACAAGAATCTCTTCTAACAACTTTAAAACATTTAAGAAATGTGTGCTCTTTAAAAAACTACTCTCTGTTATATTTTGGATCTTCACAACATAATTGCTAACTGCAGTGGTCCCCACCCTTTTTGGCACCAGGGACTGGTTTCGTAGAAGACAATTTTTCCACAGACTGGGGTGGGGAATGGTTTCAGGATGATCCAAGCGCGTTACGTTTATTGTGCAAACCTCTCTGCTAACGATAATCTGTATTTGCAACTGCTCCCCAGTGCTAGCATCACTGCCTCAGCTCTACCTCAGGTCGTCAAGCATCAGATTCTCATAAGGAGCTTGAAACCTAGATTCTTCCCATGTGTAGTTCATAGTAGGGTTCACGCCCCTGTGAGAATCGAATGCCACTGCTGATCTGACAGGAGGCGGAGCTCAGGTGGTGATGCGAGTGATGGGGAGCGGCTGGAAATACAGATGAAGCTTTGCTCGGTCGCCTGCTGCTCACCTCCTGCTGTGCGGCTGTTCCTAACAGGCCACTGACCGGTACTGGTCCGCAGCCCAGGAGTTGGGGACTGTAGATTTACTGTATTGCTTTTTAAAGTGACCTTTAAAGGGTCCTGTGCAGAAGAGAGTCACATGGCAGGCCCGACACTGTGTCCTGAGAGAGGGTGTGTGCCAGGCTGGCCCGGGCTGTCGTCTGGGAACTTGACGAGAGGCTCCCTGTGCCTCAGCTGTGTGCAGTAGGATTATGCTGAACCCCTGTCACTTCCTGGGGGTCTGGAGTTTCAGCATGTGCCAGGCAGAGGGTGCCCCTGTGACCAGCCCCCAGTAAAAACCCTGGTGCTGAGTCTAACGGGCTTCCCTGGTGACAGCACTTCACACGCACCTGCTGCTGAGGAAATGAAGCGCCTCCTGTGCGTCTCCCTTGGTTGAGGATTCTGGAAGCTCGAGCCTGGTTTCCTCCAGACGTTGCCCCAGGTGCCTTTTCCTTTGCTGACTGTGCTGTGTGCACTTTTGCTGTGACAAATCCTGGCCCTGAGTGTGCCTCTGTGCTGAGTCTGTGACTCCTCCCAGCCATCTCTGAACCTGGCGTAGTCTTGGGCACCTGGCAGGTTTGTTTTCAGTGACAGCCAATAACTTGCAATTTTGAAGTCATACCTACTATAATAATGACATAATTAAATATTGCATTTCTTTGCTATTTTTGGTTGTTTTTATTTGTTCTGTTGAGTGACCCTGTAGTATTGATTAGGGTTGTTTCAGACTAGTGTGTTTTCCCCACATGTACTTTGTTCAAAATAAATTAATTATGGGAGGGTTGTGGGACATGAGTGACTATAAGGTGACCCCTTCTCCCGAGGGGGATTGTAGAGGGGATTTGTGACCCAATAAGGGTTTGGTCTTGGGGGTGTCCAGGTGCCTTTGAACCTGCAGTGTGTGGCAGGCTTTGCTTTTCAGGCTTGGACTCTGCCATCCTGCCAAGTGCTATTCGGGGGCAGCAGATCTGCGGGAGAGCCGGAGTCTGTGTTTCTGCTGGGCTGTCGGGATGTGGCCCACACTTTGGGCGGGAAGGGTCTTTTCCTCCAGAACCGGGTGTTGGGGTGCCACACCGTTGCTCGAGACGGCAGGCCTGGTCGGAATCAGCCTCGTAATAAGATGCAGTTGAGGGAGATGTTTTCTACTTTGAAAGGAAGTTTCTTAGCCTGACTTTAAGATTTATTATACACAGATACTGCTTCTCCTTCACCTGGACAGTTATGTGGCACCTAGAGACTTTCTGTGATGACATTTAGGTAATACCAGTAAGCGTAGAAATGCGGCATCTTTAATAATGAGCTATTATTTTTCTTCCTTAGGGCATTATTTCAAGAAAAAAATATGATAGCATCAAGCATTCCCTGGAGCGTGGATCAGCTGGAATAAGGAAATATGCTCCTTGCCTGGGAGGCACGTCGGGATGTATAGAGCGGGCGACCCCGGGAGGCGGCCACTGCCCCCTCGGGTGCGGAACGTGGAAGTTGCCCGGGGCAGGGCCGGCTACGGGTTCACACTTTCTGGGCAGGCGCCCTGTGTGCTAAGCTGTGTTATGAGAGGGAGCCCGGCGGATTTTGTAGGCCTCCGTGCTGGAGACCAGATCTTTGCTGTCAATGAAATTAATGTGAAAAAAGCTTCTCATGAAGATGTAGTGAAATTAATCGGTAAGTGCTCTGGCGTCCTGCGCATGGTGGTGGGTGAAGGCGTCGGCCACTTAGAGTCCTGTTCCAGTGATGAAGAAGGCGGACTTTATGAAGGAAAAGGCTGGCTGAAGCCCAAACTTGATTCTAAAGCGTTAGGTATAAACAGAGCAGAGCGAGTCGTGGAGGAAATGCAATCTGGTGGAATTTTCAATATGATTTTTGAAAATCCGAGCCTCTGTGCAGGCAGTTCAGAGCCCTTGAAATTGAAACAAAGATCCCTTTCAGAGTCGGCTGCTGCTCAATTTGATATTGGACATGAAAGTATAAATAATCCAAATCCTCACATGTTTTCCAAAGAGGAAGTATTGAAAGTTATTAATGATGATTCAGTTTTCAGTATTGGACTAGAAAATCATGACGATTTTGGGTTAGATGCAAGCATTTTAAACGTTGCCATGGTCGTGGGCTATTTAGGCTCTATCGAACTCCCTTCCAGGAGCTCCAGCCTGGAGTCCGACAGTTTGCAGGCCATCCGCGGCTGCATGCGGCGCCTGCGGGCAGAGCAGAAGATCCACTCCCTGGTGATGATGAAGATCGTGCACGACTGTGTGCAGCTGTGCACCGACAAGGCCAGGGTTGTGGCCGAGTACCCGGCTGAGAAGCTGGCCTTCAGTGCTGTGTGCCCTGACGACAGGCGCTTTTTTGGGCTGGTGACCATGCAGACCAGCGATGATGGGAGCCTGGCCCAGGAGGAGGAAGGTGCCCTGCGGACTTCCTGCCACGTGTTTATGGTGGACCCAGACTTATTTAATCACAAGATCCACCAAGGCATTGCCCGGCGGTTTGGGTTTGAGTGCACGGCTGACCCTGACACCAATGGCTGTTTAGAGTTCCCTGTGTCCTCTCTGCCTGTGCTCCAGTTCATCTCCGTCCTGTACCGTGACATGGGCGAGCTGATCGAGGGCATGCGGGCCCGTGCCTTTCTGGACGGGGACGCCGACGCCCACCAGAACAACAGCACCAGCAGCAACAGTGACAGTGGCATCGGGAACTTCAACCAGGAGGAGAAGAGCAACCGGGTCCTGGTGGTCGACCTGGGCGGGGGCTCCAGCAGGCACGGCCTAGGGGGCAGCACTGGGTGGGAGGGTGCGGGAGGGAGGGCCACGCAGCCCTGGGGGGCCCCCTGGAATGGGGCCTTCTGCCACGACCCTGATGGGAGCTCCCCACTTGAGGTCACTCCCCAGACTGACAGGTTCCGGGACTTAAACAAGCACTTAGGACCAACCTCTCATGTGGAGGTCCCCCTGGCTTCCTCTCGGAGTTCAGTCCCTCCTCCCAAGAGGGGCACCGTGGGTGCCAGCTGTGGTTTCAGCCAGCGGTGGCTCCCAGTCCACGTGCTTCAGGAGTGGCAGTGTGGTCATGCCAGTGACCAGGAGTCTTACACTGATTCCACTGATGGGTGGTCCAGTGTCAACTGCGGCACCCTGCCCCCTCCCATGAGCAAGATCCCAGCGGACCGCTACAGGGTCGAAGCCAGCTTCGCACAGCCCCCGCTGGGCACCCAGAAGAGGGACTGGTCCAGGAAGGCTTTTGGAATGCAAAACATTTTTGGTCCCCATCGAAATGTTCGAAAGACTAAAGAAAACAAAAAGGTAAGCCTGTTAGCTGCCGTTTGGCACAAATAAGCTTGATTTTATAACTTAGCCAGTTTCTGGTGAGATGCCACGTTTATTGCCACGTTCATTACGCTGGCAACCTCTGGCTGGCCTGTGGCTCCTGCCTGTTGTCACTGGATGTGTGCCCTGCCACAGAGGGTATTCCCAGGAGCCCCTACCCCGCTCAGGTCCCTCGTGCTGGACCTGGCTCTGACAGCTGGTCCTGGACAGGATGCCAGGCAGGGCAGGTGGTGACGAGAGGGAAGTGAGGCCTTTCTCCTTCTCCCTGCCCCTCTCCCTGTAGCCCCTTCACAGCCCATTTTATTTCTGATCCCAGTGTCTGAGACATCATGCCCTTTTTAAGGTGAGACAATTCTTGAAGCACAGAGAGCCAGCTCCCGGCAGGGTGCGGAGCTTGTTCACAGTGCACTCCTTGTGCGGCTTCCTTCCTGGAGGAAACCCCGTTGTGCAGGGTGCCACTGCCCTGGGAGCCTGTGGGACCTTTGCCTAACCTTAGGGGCTGAGTTTGGAGCATGAGAGAGGAAAAAACTGAGAAAAGCAGGGAGCCCTCTGGAAGGACTTCATTTGATAGGTGCTGGGCGGCGCAGGTGGGTGGTGCTGGGAGCCAGGGCTGGTGATGGGTGGAGGGGATTGGCACAGCTTGTGTTTCAAAGCAACTTTTCTCAGAGGATGTTTACAATGTAAAAATACCTTTTTTTTGTGTTTGTTCACATTTTTGTTCTTGATAGCTGAAAATATCCTGAGAAAACACTCTGAGGGGCTGGTTGGGCAGGGCCGTAGCTAGAGGAGTGTGGGCTGGGCTGCAGGGCTTGATGATGTTCTTGCTTGGCGCGCTCCCAGCTCCACGTGTTTCGTCATGAAATATGGTGCATTAAAGGAAATTTAAAGATGGAGGAAGGACATATTTCTTGTAGTTTTATTGGTCGTTAAATACGAAATGTTCGATTTTGAATCAGAAATGTAGTTTATATCTCAAACAAGAAGCAGCACAATTAATCAGAGTATGCGCCTAAACTGTTGACACAGTGTTGCCATCTTAACAGTAGCTGGTTTATGTGGGCAGCAAAGAAGCCTGGAGAGCGAGTGGTGATGAAATTGTGAAAGACATTTTCCACAGCTTGTTGAGAATGGAATATTTTTCCTTGCAAGAAATGGTCCAAAGCCTGGAAGAGGGGGTAGTCAGTTGGTGCAAGGTTTGGTTAAGATGGTGGATAACAGAGTTTCCAAGTCCAGCCTCTGTAATTTGAGCAGCATTGTTTGTGGGACATGTGGTTGAGTGTTATTTTGTAAGAGGATTGGCCTGTCTCTATTGACCAGTCTCGGCTGCTTAATCGCAAGTATCCTCATCATTTCATCCAGTTGGTTGCAGTAGACATCTGCTGTAATCAGTTGACCAGGTTTCATGAAGCTATAGTGTATAATACCAGCGCTGGACCACCAAATAGATACCATTAGCTTTTTTTGATGAATATGGTGGTTTTGGACTGTGTTTCTGCACCTCATCTTCATCCAACCATCTTCCTGAACACTTGCGATTGTAAAAAGAATCCATTTTTCATCACATGTAACAATATGGTGTAGAAATGGTTAGTCTTTATGTCGTGGCAGCAGAGAAAGGCAAGCTTCCAGATGATTTCTCTTCTGATGCTTGTTTAATTCATGTGGAACCCATCTATCCAGCTTCTTTACCTTGCCCATTTGTTTCAAATGGTCCAGTATTGTTGGAATAGTAACGTCAAACCTTGCTGCTAATTCATGCGTAGGTTGAGATGGATTCATTTCCACTACAGCTTTCAGCTCATTATTATCTACCCTGGTCTCCCACGTGGCTCATTTTCAATATTAAAATCACCAGAATGGAACTTCTCAAACCATTCATGTCCATTAACCACATCCTTCTCAAACACTTCGTTGATATTTCGAGCTGTCTGTGTAGCATTAGTTCCACAACGGAACTCATATT